GGACAAGTTCTACGGCTACCTGTCCGAGCGCAAGATCGACGATGAGCTGGCCCAGTTCATCGCGCAGTTTGCTGATCTCAAGGAGCAGCGCGAGTACTTGGCGTTTCTTGAAGACGCTGCGAGCTTTGTCAAACACTGAACATGACAGCCGATGGGATACATGATGTGCTTGGAGTCCGTGAAAGGCTTTGCATCTGCGGGTTCTTGTGAAGTGAAGAAGACCACTGTGCCCATCGCCGAGCATACCTGCTGGACTCGCAAGTCAGACACGTATGCAGCAGCTCCAGCAGACGGTGTTGAAGCTGCAAGGGTCGTCTCCAATTGCGACGTTTTTTATCGTACTCGCAAGTTCCTTTGCTGCAGTCGCATTTGTGCGATTATTCGAGTCCTTGCATATGGATATTGAATGCGCTGTCAATGCTTTTCAGTCGCACGTGTAGGTTCAAGTGTGTTGGCTTCAGCCAAGATGACCGCTTGTTAGAACCGACTGTCTCTCGTAGCTGGATATGTAACTCTACACGTTGCAGAAGAAAACAACGTTTTGCATTGCAATGGGACAAGGTCCATGTGATATAAATTATGACAGTCAGTCGTTCTGTAGTGGTATGACTGTCATACATGTCTGTCCACGCAAACAACTGCTGGTCATTTGTGATTCGAGCCCTTTTGGTGTTAGCCAATCAGATTGTCGACTGTCCTTCTTATTATTTTGACGAATCCGCGTTCTTTGTGCTAATTTGACGAGTCAGAGGCGGCTGTTCCTGACCAGTCAGTTCGCATACAAGTACGAAGAGTAGCAAATGCAAGTGCTGTTGCTTCTCAGTCTTAAACTTACACCAGGGGGTACCGATGCCCGTTGCGATGCTGTGAGCACTGCGTATCGTTTATGTGTTGTAGTTCTGGCGATGGAGTGAAGATACCTAATCGTACTTGGTGATAGGAGTGCGGGCCGTTTTGGTCTCTCCTCCTTCTGTGAGCGCTACACTATGTCATAGTTACACTGACCATTCGCCAACTCAATACATTGTACTGTAGCAAACGGGTCCTCAGATGGATGGGGTATGATAGGGATGCAGTTGCACGATGGCCGGCATCCTATGCTTGTACTCCGCATGTGCTCAATAATGTAGCTAGACTGTATGTCGTCTATTCTTGCACCAGCAGCGTAGTTGATAGACTTCATGTCTAGTAGCGCTTCGCTGTGTGCATGAGCAGTAAGATGACAGGAGACGAAAATAGTTAGACTGAGCAACTGCGTAGACGAAGAACTGTGTAGTACAGTGTGAGGAGTCAGCAGCATGTGTGCGTGAGTGTGATTAGTCTGCACCATTTGTACGTGTTCAAGTCTCACACCAGAACAGGAAGTGCCGTAGTTTGCACCGTGTGCACGTGTTCAGGTCCTTCAGTGCGGACAGGAATGGTATAGCCGCCAAACATTTTTGACCGATCCGCATCAATCGATTGAATAAAAGGGTGTAATCATAGCCAATTGAAAGCGCTGGACGAGAGCATCATTTGGCTACATCCCGTTCAGAATTGGAGGCCTACAGCCTCAGGAAAGCCAAGAAGAGCGAAGGAGGTAGTAAAATAATGATATAGCCAGCAAGCATCGCCGCGTTATATGTAATCGTCGCGGCGTTGTTTGAGGTCCGTTTGTTTTTGTTGCGATGCCTGTTTGCTGACTGCTGTATGCCGATAGGCAAGGAAATGACGGCAGAAGAGAAAGGAAAGGTGATAACCTTCTTCCATGAGACAAAATGAGTCATCGAGAGATTGTTTGACGCATAGGTCGCTCTCGAGGCGTCGTTGAACACTTCTTGAGCGATACCGTCGCCCATAGTGCCTACAGACCAGCCGGACGATCACCATTTTTGACTAAAACGGCTTGCCGCCGACTGTTTTGTGCCGTTCAGGGGGTAAGGTAGCTGCTGCACGGGAGCTTTGTGCGCAACTGAAACACATTGATCTTGTTTTCCATGTCAAGCAGCTCTTAAACGAAAGCCCTACGCCCAAGCTTTTTAAGCGTTGACATACACCAGTGCTTACTGATAGGGACAAAACAGCTCGTGTTAAATGGTGTGCTGAGAGATGCCGTCTCTTTGAGGACGATTGATCCTTAACCATTTTTCTGACAAGTTGAAAGTTTATCTGGATGGACCAGTTCGATTCCAAGGCAATTTGGCCCGACTTATGGAAACTACAGTTTTTACGACTCGTCAATCCGGCGGTGGCTCAATAATGGAATGGGTACAGATATTCGTGGCTTCGGCCACGTCCGAAATTTCGACTTTATTGTAAGCCGTTGGAATAACAACGAATGTAGCGGACACTTAGGACAACTAGTTAAACAACCATGTTGGTACACTATCTGTTCACATTCGGTCATGCACCCATCAGACCAGCTCCCAATTGCGCGAAACTTACGCATACTTCACACGACTACAGCACTTCCAGCAAGTCATGTAGCATGTCATGGCCCCACGCTTATCGCTGTGACCCACGTGTATCCGGCAAATTCCAAGAGCACCTGCTACAAAATAGCGCGTATCTATCTAGATCCCCCTGCTCGCACAGGTGTGCCACTTCGGTTGCAGTATCATTTTTCTCGGTACCGAATTGACGTCACCATCCGATCCGCCACGGCAGCTCGGATTACCTCATGATTCTTCATCGGCTGCGACACTCTGCAGGAATCAGCGATCCTTTGACGAATCTTCAATCCCGTCGTCGGATTGACCGACGATTATCAGTTCGAGGGTACTGCATTAGACGCACAGACGTAAGTTTTGGCTGTTCTCCTTTGTTGAGACTGCAAATCTACTGCATCGTTGCAGCTGTCGGCGTCTACATGTCCGTCGCCAATTGGTTGTATGACGACGACCTGGACTACATGAGCGCCGTCCTTGACATCGCAAAAGTTTCTATTTTATTCTTCTTCCGGTCAACAAATGGGTACTTTGCGTCATAGAAAATGGATCGTCGCTTTTGCATCTAACTCAATGTACCCACTTTTGTATCAGTCGCGGTAAGATCCTTTTTCATGCCAAGACCATGACTATAACGCTCAACACAGAGATCGTGTGCGTGATGGCGGTCGAACGGTAGCAAATACTGCAAGAAATTCTGTGAAGCATCTTTTGTGCTCGATAGGAGCGACACGGTGCCGACTTTGGCCCTAAGAACGTTGCTCACACGCAGCCAGCCTTACGTGTAGCCATTTAGTTATCTACTTGAGCTCGTCTGCTCGATGGTGTCTACCACACAATTTCGGCACAAAAACCACCACTTTGACAAATCGAGCGAAAAAAGAGTCGCGAGTGTCTTCACTTCGAGCTATCAGCGACTTCTCTTTGCCCAAACTTGCGAGCGATGGAGAGCCAAGTAGTCGAACTCACAGAGGCCGAGCAGGCTCAGCACCAGCTGCAGATGGAGCAGCAGCTCAAGTCGTTCTGGGCCAAGCAGTTTCTGGAGATGGAGCAGCTCGAAGTCGGCAGTGAACAAGGTGCGATTGATTGCGTGGACGAAAAAGAGAAAAGAGAAGAAGGTGATCGTGGAGACCCAATTTACGTGACTAACTTGTTTTCTGTGCATGTCTTTTTGATTGCACCGCTTGACTCAGATTTCAAGAACCATAACGACCTACCCCTAGCGCGCATCAAGCGCATCATGAAGTCGGACGAAGACGTGCGTATGATCAGTGCCGAAGCGCCCGTGCTCTTTGCCAAGGCGTGCGAGATGTTTATCCTGGAGCTCACGCTGCGATCGTGGGGCTACTCGGAGAAGAACAAGCGGCGGACGCTGCAAAAGGAGGACATTCAGACAGCCATTCGGAACACGGACATTTTCGATTTTCTCGTGGACGTCATTAACTAAACGAAGAAGAAGGAGAGGCTGTAGACGTGGCGTCCATGTTGGCAATAGTAGACAAGATCTGGACGAGAAAAGGAGGGCGACCTTGTCGTATTGATGTTTACTATGATACGAAATGGTCGCCATCGTCACAAGTGGCGTTGAAGTGCTACGTCGCGGTCTTTGGTTGACGCACGACTGACGTTGTTGCAACCACGTCGTGTTGGATCATGTGTACATCGAATAAACGGAAAATAGGCAGATTTAGTCACGTACCTCGTTCCATTATCGGGGTGTTACGTAGGACTAAAAATATAGTCGCATCGACACTATCCTTGGAAACAATTCGACCGGATCCAGACACCGAGTTTGCTGACCTTGTGGGTGACTTTTAATTGGTGTGTCGAAGATCAAAGCATCGAACCTTGGTGTTCACGGTAGGCGAGGAACTGGAGATGAACGGATGCAGCCTGTGTAAAAAGCAAGGGTCACGACAATTGGACGACGGTGCTTTCTGCGGGTGGTGGCAAATATACCTCGTGAATGTATGGGTTCCCAAAATCTTCCACGGTCTGTAGCGCATGTCTCTGTAGCAATCAACGTCGTGTCGCTGTAACGTTCAGCACGAAACAAAAGAGGATCACATTCGGGCGCAAGACTAGCATGAACCAACTACTACTGCCTACACAGCCGAGTGTGTAAACTAAGATAAGCACTCGACAGTGGCAGCTGCTTCCCCACTAATCTCGTTTACACTCTACATCGTCAATTTACATACACTCGTTGACAGTATCCACGTAAGTTGTCGTGAGCGCCATCACTGCGACAGACAGTTGCTCACTTCTGTCGCAGTGACGGCTCACGGCAACGCCTGGCAGCGCACGGCCGGCAAGAGCCGCTGTCAACAAAGGCATAGCCCATCCATTCGGCCAGCTACCAACTAGACGCTTACACGTCCGTTATCACCTGCAAGTTACCGCCGTGATTGATGCAGCACGTGCTGTGATGCAGCGTGGACAGTCGCACTTAACACAGTCCTCGCCTCGCTCCCCTCTCCCATCTTCAACAGTTGAAGCTAAGGCGCCCAAAAGCAACTTCCCCTCGCTCGACGTCATTTGTAGATTTCCTCTGTACCCACCACTCTCGTCGCCATGTGGCGTCCACTCGCAGCCGTCCGCCGCCCATCGCACAGCCTGCGCCACTGGTCGCAAGCGCTATCCACTGCGTCGCACGGCGCGTCCACCCCACAGCCGCACGTCGTCGGCGTCATTGGCTTGGGCCAAATGGGCGGCCGCATGGCCGACAACCTCCGCAAACACGGCCACCGCCTCGTCGTGTGCGACCCCGTGGCCGCCAACGTGCAGCGACAAGTGGACCACGGCGCAGTTGCCGTCGCAACGGCTCGAGAAGTGGCCGAGCAGTGCGATACGATCGTCACGATGCTGCCGTCGACGGCCACGGTCGAGCGCGTCTACTTGGGCGTCGATGGCGTGCACGAGGCTCTGCGCGAGCAGCACGTGCTGCTGGACTCGAGCACGATCGACCCGATCTTTACCAAGACGCTGAGCAAGGAGCTGCACGAGCGCGGAGCGACGTTCGTTGACGCGCCCGTGTCGGGCGGCGTGGCCGGCGCGCAGAACGGGACGCTGACGTTCATGGTGGGCGGCACGCCAGAAGAATTCGAGCAAGTCAAGCCACTGTTGAAGGCCATGGGGAAGAACCTCGTTCACTGCGGGGGAAGCTGTAAGTCGCAAGGGAGAGAGAGAGAGAGAGGGAGCGAGAGAGAGAGAGAGAGAGATGCTAAATGTTGCTGTGGATTGTGTGCGTGTGTGTGTGAGCAGCTACGGGTCAAATTGCAAAGCTATGCAACAATCTGGCGCTTGCGATTCAGATGGCGTCGGTGGCGGAGGCGATGAACCTCGGCACGACGCTGGGCATTGACGCTGCGGTCCTCAAGAACATCATGGACACGTCCACGGCGTCGTGCTGGTCGACTCTTGTGTACGTGAAAGGAGGAGGAGAGCCAGCTGCTGCTCAATCGCTCGTTGCATTGTGTCTGACATACCGTCATGGGGATTGTCGTGTTGTGTTGTGCTGCTGCTGCTTCTTACGACTGCAGGAACCATCCGTATCCGGGTCTGATGGAGAACGTGCCGTCGTCGAAGGATTACGAAGGCGGGTTCGCCGTCACGTTGCACCGGAAAGATCTCGGACTTGCCATGGACTGTGCCAAGCAGGCGGAAGTGTCGATTCCGCTGACGTGCCAGGTCCACCAGCTCTTCAACATGATGGTCGCAGGCGGCCACGGTATGAAGGACTTTAGTTACCTTCTCCCGTACCTCAAGAATGGCAAGTAAGTGTGGACGTGGACACAGTTTTTCTCGCTGTGATGCACACATGACTTGTGCAAGAGTTGGACGTTCACGAACGTACGCAGGATAAATAGTGCAACGAAAACCTCGTCATTGCGGGTTCGTTTACTGTGACGTGGCGTCTGATTTGTAATAGATAACGTCTCGTTGTCGATCTTGACTGCTTGATGCATCCGCTAGAGTGTGTGGTTTCACGTGTGTTCCATGCCTATAATCTTGTGAACAGAAGATGCCCACTCTAGCGTAAGCACCGCGTCGTGAAGTTGGAAAGACAGCAGGCTTGTGCAAGCAATGTCCAGCTCGCTATGGCTCTTCATCAGGCTGCCGCACACGTAAGCTTGACAGACTCCAAGACATCATCCGATGTTGACCGGACGTGAAGCTCGTGGTGCATGGCAAAAATGTTGTCACGACAACCACAGCTCGCACATTGCGTACGTCAAGCACTGTCGGACTTTGCGAAAGAGCGCATCCCAATCACGGCCGATTTTCGTCCCACGAGACCGTTCCTGTGGCTCCCAGTCAAGCAAACGCATCGGTCAGGGGCAAGCTACAGACACGCGCCAGCCTGTAGCTGAGCCGTGTCTTCCTCGCAGCTTTGGCTCGTATGGCACATTTCGGCCTTCTACACTTCTGGTCGCTGTTCCATGCGACACGCAAGAGCCACCGATAGAATGAGCGCTGTGTCGACAAAAGATCGTTCCTCTCCCGCATCTTCTGCACGTCACCACAATCTGGTCGCGAGTCAAGCTCATATGTCGATCTGGTTCTTCACAAAGGGTAGGGAATGCATGGCCGATAGCAGGCTGCGATCATTTGAGCACACCTGACTTGTTTCGTTTGACATGCTTGATCTTTTCAGTTGCCAGAACCACGACTTAAGCCCTGACGACATTGTGATCTTCAGCGGCCTTTTTCGCAGCTTTCCACTCTGCTTGGCCTTGTCTGAGCAAATTGACGTGATACTCTGTTCGTTCAAAGTGGTAAACTAGGCTCTGCATTCGTTTGTCAAGCTCTGCCAGCCGGGGCAACACGGACGCAATGGGGGCGTCAATCTTCCGACACAACATCTCCAGCACATGCTCTGTTGCAGCATGTAGCCCACTGCGATGACTGGAAAGATAAAAGAGCGGGTAGAAGAACGCATCGTACTGCGCTTCTCCATCGGCGCGTTGCACTGCTCCGCTTCTTGTCTCTCCAGATCGCAGACGCTTCATACGCTCCTCGATGGCCTCATCGGTCTCAGCAAGAATTCCGTCCACATGGATAGCTGGGTAGCCGTATAGACTGTTCTGCTTCAGTCTCTTGTCCGGATCACCACCCGAGGCTGCCAACTCGTCTACTGACTCGACGCGCTCAAGCTTTCTCGCGTGTTCTTGGAGGCGTTCAGGGATACCAGAGTGTTCAGGATCCACGAAAACTTCCCTCGCAAACCGAACATAGGCATCGAGATCTCGCCGAAGAAGGAGATGCGGATTGTGCACTGCAGCAGCGGGTGGTGACTTGAAGTGGCCTCGTCCATCATCGCTTTTATCCCCTTCTCCGTCTTCGTCGTCTTCATGGCGTCGCTCATAAATCCACTCGTGCCAGTTCGCACACATCTTGATCGCTACTACCAAATGCGCTACGATACCAACTTCGGACTCGAGTATTCCGTCCACTCTCGCTCGGTCTTCCTTTGTGGGCGTCAGATTGAACCTGGGAACGCCACCGGCTTCCGCCTGTAGCAGCAGTGGCTTTTCGGGCATGGGTCCTGTAACGTTCATGAAGCCTGAGATCCACTGGAAATGACGAAAGACTTCTGCAGGGAACCCCATCATGGTGCAAATGCGGTGCGCGGCAAGCGGCACATTGAGTGGAGGCAATCGCAGCCCCATGTGGTACATCAAATGGTTGGCCGAGTATGCAATCTGAACCGTGTTTGCTCGGTGGCGAATCATCAAGGACTGGAAAAAGTGAGACACATGCTTGACCGAGTCCCTCACATCCGGCGCGTCAGCGCAAGTGGTGGCCAACGAGTTGTGGTAGGGGATGACTCCATTCGCTACCCAGTCTGCAAAATCACTAGGCAGGAGTCCCAAATTCAGCGCACGCGAAGCAAGCATCAAGATTCCAATCATATCCACGATCGAAAACTTGTTCAGCGTGCCTGACAGTCGAACATTTGTCTTGACACTTTTTTCCTTACCCGTCTTCCCACCTCGGCTCGTGTCGTGCTCCACTTCGTCACAGTTTTCAGCAACGTGTCCCTCCTGCTGCTGCTCCTCCTGCTCCTTTTCCTCCTGCTTCTCCTCTTGACTCCCCCGCTGTTCGTCCCACTCGGCATCCCATTGCTCGAGCAAATCCAGCGTCACGGCCGGTTCCAACTTCACTCTCTCCTCGTGCGTAAAGTGCAGGAAAAACTCATTGTAGCACCGCAGCAATGGCTTGGTGCCTTTTACGCCCCACGTCTGGAGAAACATGAACCACAGCTTCTTCACTGCTTTCGGGTACTCCTCCGCTGGGAACGTAGCAGCTCCAATGCGAGTCACAAGTGCTCGCGCCATTGCGTCCAGAACCATTTGCGTCGCAATGACGCAATCCAATAGCGGCGGCAAAGCAGGTGTCGTCTTTTGCTTGACCTTTTCATTGCCCTCTTCTACGTCGTCATTGTCCCCCTCATTGTCGCCCTTTTCCCGCTTGATGCGCTTCGTTAAAGTCTTGTGCTTGTCGTCTGTTGAGCGCTTTGGTTGGCGAGTAACGCGCCGCTTCAGCGTCTTGAGCGCCGTCGGGAGATCCAGTCCCATGTCTTCAACATCGAGCGTCTCATTTCGGGCCTGGAGGGAACTCTGCGTGCCACACAATTCACACACCATCTCGCCAAAGTAGTTTTCGCTGAAGAAAGAGTCGCCCGCAGCGCCGCAGGTTTGGCACTCCAACATGGCCACTTGATGTTGACTTGACTCGATCGATGGGAAGGTATGTGTCGATAAAGACGACAGTCACGAGGCGATATGGGTAGATGGGTGGATGACAACTACGTGCCGCCGCTTTTGGTACGGTAGCAGTACGAGTTTTGGCAGTATCAATTCGAATCAGAAAGAGAACATATCACGGACTCAGAGGACTATAGTTAAAATAGGCGTCAGAGGTAGGTAAAATATAACATCGACAAAAATAACGAAATATACGTAAAATATTACGGATGTTTGCAATGCGGACCAACATTGCCGCAAATAGAAACAAAATAGGTCATCGATACGTACCAAAAACATACAAACCCCTGGCACACTGCTGTTAGGCGATGCGGTTAGAAGTATAGCCATCGAAGAGATTCATGCCGCGCGGTCCTTCAGATCACCCTGGGGTGAACTGCAAATACTGTAACTCAGATTGAATTCCTTTGAGGGCCCGCACCCCTCAATACACTATGGGGTTTATCGGCTTAGGGGGAGTATAGCCATAGAAGACGAAATAGGACGAGATACCTCCGAATTCAAATTGCCATTCGATCCCAAGCAGGTGAATCTCCGTACGATGTATGTACGAATTGTGCTCATCATTATTGGCATATTTTTGTGGTTTCTAAATTTGTCGATCTTTTTTTCCGTAAGAATAGGTGTGTTTATCTCGGCGTCCATTCTTGTTAATTCTGTTTCCATTTTCGTCAATGGTACGGTACACTGTTACGTAGTGGCGAGTACGACTCCATCTGTCCGCGATCAAGTATCCCTAACAAAATCGAGCAAACAAAGCAGCACAGTCGCATACACAGACCACAAGTAGCACAATGTCTTTCGTCGATTACCGCAGCACAACTAGAGCTTGTTCATCGACGCGACGTCGACCGACTGGACATAGTCCTCAAAGCTCTCAATCGCTTCCGTAATGTCGTCCATCAGCACGAGCTCGTCGATAATGACGCACTGCACCAGGAGCTTCTTGATGCCGAATGCCACAGGCACGAGCTTGTGGCCTTCGCCCCACGTGAGGCCTTCAATAGGCAGCGCCTTGATCTTGGTCGCCAGCTCCTCGAGGTCGGTCTCGGCCTCCCACGGCTTGACCTCAATCACCACTTGCGAGCGCTCCACGGGCTTCTTCTTCTCCTTCTTAGCAGACTTGGCCGCTTCCGCACGCTTGGCGGCCAGAGCCTTTGCAGCTTCGTCGTCCTCGTCGTCGTCGTCCCCAAAGAGGTCGTCGTCGTCGTCGCCGTCGTCTTCGTCCTTTGTCTGCTTCGGCTCGACCTTCTTGGGCGCTTCTTTCTTGACCGGTACCGCCTTCTTGGCCCCTACAATGGCCTTCATGGGCTTTGCTCCTTTGATTGGGTGCAGCACGGAGTACTTGGCAGTCTGCACGATCTGGAACTTGGTCATATCGGTCGGCATCTTGATGGAAGTCGGTTGTGAACGACGGGGCAAATTCGATACTGAACGGTCGAGAGAGAGCCACTCGTTTGGAGCGTGAAATTGTTGTATTGCAATGTTATGGTAAGACGTGATGGTATGTAAAATTGTACGACGAGCTCAGCAAATCGAGCGCAAGGACGAATATTACAGACGCACAACTGGGAGGAGAGCTATTGGATCAGACACTTTTTGTCTCAATCCATCACATGGAGCTGCAACGTGTGCTGGAAGCCTATCGCGCAATGGAGCCCGTGCGATCGCTGATGCAGACAATCAAGACGCAATTTGCACACGAGCAGCAGTGGGCGTCGCTTGCGTTTCAGGTCGAGCATATTTGACGAGCACATTGTACTGTTTTAAACAACTTTTTTTGGCGAGCTGATATAACACATGGGGGTATGCGTGGATGGATGGATATGCATGGCATCTGTAGGCTCAACTGGTTCAATTCGTGGTGGACGACCCAATTTGTCACGACTTTCCCCCGCAGAGGACGTATACATACCGGTTTCTCAAGGCTTTCGTGAGTGGTACGGTCGCACTTCCATTCTGAAGGGTCTCGAGGGTACTACTGTACGACCAGCAGAGACCGTTGTCATGGCTACATCTTTTGCCATCACCGACACTGTGGACCCCTGAGCTACGCCGTCAGCTGATTGAGTGTGAATTACTGAACGTGTGCGTAGAGATTGAGGCTCTGCATGTGGACATTGACGACAGAGTCGTTGAGGCACTGATGGAGTTTGTCCTGAACAAGAAACTGCGCGACGACTCGCTCTATGCCGAAGCTATGCACTACGTTTCGTACACAGTGCCAACGGCAGCCACTACGTCGAAAGTCGTGACGTGTCGCGTGGCTTCTTTGTTGAATGAGGTGGGGCTGAGACTCTGGGAAGCTGGTTGGCTGCTGGCCGAGTACGTCCTGCGACACGCGCACGACTTTCACGACAAGACGGTGCTGGAACTCGGCGCTGGCGTTGGCTTCACAGGCATGGCCCTGGCTTGTGTGTGTCGCTCAAGTCGTGTTGTGCTCACGGACTATGCGCCAAACGTGCTGCAAAACTTGCGGTACAATGTCGAGCTCAACTCGGACAAGTTCATCTGCCCAGTGGAAGTACAGGCGCTCGACTGGGGAACGTGGCAGCGAACGGATCGAGAGGATGCAGTGCACCCGGACATCTTACTCGCTGGAGACTGTGTCTATGACGTGGCAGCTTTTCCAGCCATGATGCATGCTCTCGAGTCATTCTTTGGCGAGCATGAAGGCGGCGATACCAGTCAGCAGTCTCAGCGCGTGGCGATTTTTGCCGCGACGATTCGCAACCAGAAGACGTTCCAAGAGTTCCTCGACCAGCTGGCTGAGCACGACATTGACTACGTTGATACGACGACGTGTTTGACAGAGACGCTGGAGAAGCAGACGTTTCCGTACTCGAATCGAGATCAGATTCGCATCTGCCGCCTGTCGAGAGCTGTTCGTTATGCACCTGCAGCATCGAAGAAGTAGAAACCCGTGGACCTATTTTTCGTCAGTGCTGCAATCGATTGAGCTCTGTGGCAACAGCACGAGCGGGATACAATGAGCGTGACCAACTGCTAAGGCAAGTACTTGATATCACGAGACCGTATCTCTGCGAGCTTTGCAGAAGCTGTAGACGATGTGTTCTTTGGATACCGCACGCTGGGAATTGTACGCATCTTGACACGGTACTCGCGAGACAAGAACGAGGATCTGTTGTCTTTCCGGTAGGCAAAAGTGACGTGATTTGGGTCAATCGCGATGCAGTACACCCGTGCGACCCCAGCAACGCAGTCACGGTGTCGATCATTGATCCAAGTGCTTATTGTGATGTCCTAGCAGCTCGATTGGTTTCCATCATCTTCAATGGTATTTGCTCCCCTGGTTAGCACGAGCTACCAAAACAAAAGGCCATTTTGCGCTCCGGGACCAGTGTCACCAGCTGTCCGGTAGAAGCTGCCACGAAGGTCGTCGTTGTAACAACTCACACAAGAATCTTTATCTGCAATCACAATGCTACTTCGCAAATGCGCGATAGTCTCAGCAAAGTCGATGGCTGCACTACGATCGCAAAGAGCTTCCTAAGCAATGGAAAAACATTGATGGAAATTGTTTGCTGCCCATAGTCCGTCCATAGCCGACATTGCATACTGCATCTTTCGACTTGCGAAGCAAAAGACGTGCGTATGATCGATTGTGGATACCCACAAGCATGCTTCAAATGCTTGTAAGTGTTGTGTCCACAAGACAAAGCTATTGTTAACAAGTCACTGCTGATGCTATTGTGCTGGAAATTCGAATCTCGAGTGGCGTTTTGACTACCATGCGCTCATGTGCTTGGACAAAAGCTGTATCATCGACAACGGTTTGAGGAAAGCTCAAGGACAATTTTGTTCATCGGTACCTGCCCTTCGCGTCTTTATACCGTGAGATACACTGATGTCTCGACAAGGCAGCATGTACACTGGTTGTCTTGTGTAGACAAACACAGGAACCGGATCACCACGATCGCGTCTAAGATATCGATCGATGCAATTGGAGTGTCCATCAGACGCTGCGATGCCGTCGTTTCTTATAAGTTTTGATCAGCAAAGTGCACGAAGGCACTCGTGGTACTTGCGGTCAATGTGTTGCTACGCTTTACTCAGTTTGCCATACACTGAACGCATAGAGTCAATCCGAGAAGCGCGTGAGCAATCACATCAAGCCGTATAACGCTGAACCACAGGACAATAGTGTATTTTTCTGATCCAGCGACCTCGCCGAACAACACGACCAGCACAAAATGTGCATCACCTCTGCCTGCATCTAGAAAGCCCACAGACATGCGATGCGTCTCAGCAAACAATACAGCTGTCCATCCCGATCGAACCACGCGATACAGCTTTGTGATCATCGACCCGGGCGACGACTTTCTTGTGGAAATCAAGACGTCACACGACCAACCGACTCCATCTCTACAGCGACATGGTGTCACTTATCTTCATCCACCTCTGCTGCGGGCTTGCCGTCCTTCTCGAGACGACGACGACGGACGTCGTAATTAAATATGCGCGCAATGTTCACCTCTGTCGTAATGACCGCGTCACGCAGAAACGACAAGTCGTCTTCAATCTGAGCCTACAACATCGCAACGCCGCCGTGCAAACGCACCACACTTGTCGTCAATACACAGTACACTGCAGTCCACACGCTCTGCACAACAGCTTTGTCCTCACCAGCTTTTCGGTCGCCGACGCCACGTTCTTTTCCAGCAAATCGAGAGCCTCTTCGTACCCGTACTCGACCATAACATGAGCCCCGAGCCAGATACAGACCTTTCCCACCGAACAGTCCACCTCGGCCTTGGCATACACATTGTCGGCCACATTGAAGTGCGTCTTGAGCACTTCACCGGCATCGCGCTTGGCGATCACGTGGCGGACAATGGCCAAATCTTTGCGGGTGTCTGGAATCTTGCGCTTGAACGTCTCCCGACTCGTTTGCAGACTCGTTTCCATGAATTTGTACTTGCTGTACATTTGCTGCAAGGCGTTGACGAGCGGATCAATGGTCGAGACGCCACACGTGCTCATGAAGGAGTCCACAGAGTCCTACACAACGTCAAGACGAAGACAGAGAAGGACAATGTTCGACCAATGAATGACGGTATGGATCCCACAAGAGCGAGCAGCGAGCGCGAAACGCACCACAAAGACAGCAGCGGGGATGCCGCGAGGGTTCCGCTCGCCCATGATGGCGGCATTGAGGCGTGCGAGCGCGTCGGGGCTCTCGATGGCCGTCGACGAGGCCGCGGAGCTCGTCATGAGGGAGCTGGCCAGGAGTGGGTGGCTGTGAGGCGGCGTACTTAGGCGAGTTCTGTGCGATCGAAGTGTACGCACACGGATGCATACTGTACGACTGTTTTGGAGGAGACGGAGAGTCATAAACGTCGACGGACAAATTGGGTAGTAGCTTCGAAACATGCGTCCATTGCAAGGCGCGATAAAAATAGCTGCATTTTTCTTGCACACTATCTTTGCTCCTGTTGTCCGTGTTTGTCTCGGTTCGTGGTGCGTGATGCATATCATGGCGCTGCCATTAGTGAACAAAGATACTTTCATTTTTTGCGTCACGTCGGCTTTGTTCCTACCAGAGACCTACTTTTTTACACCTACTTTCTGTACCCTACGTGTAATTTGCTCAGCTGCAAGTAAGTCTCTGTCGCTTCGTAGATGAGGCGGAAAGAAAGGGTGAGACAGAAAAGGAGGCTATGCGGCTCGCCCTTTGACCACATGTGGTTTGCTTGGAGTACTGATACAACGGAGTGAGCGTGTGACATGTCATTGGCACGATGTGTCCCGATGCAAATACTGTCCTGATTGAGCATAGTTTACAATATTACTCTTGCGAGAAAATCTTGCTTGAGTATTACCTACAGAGGTTATATTTTACATTTTTTACAATAGGTTAATGAAGGCCGGTAATCGATCAAATAACCCATAGTCGCTGCTAGACGCGCGCGATGGGTGGCGAGTGAGATATTACATAAAATGTTTGTAGTTCGTTGTAGCGTAAGCAAGATGAAGGAGGTAATCAAAGTAGCTTCAGTACATTAAATATGCAGTTTTACCTTCATTTCCTTCTCAGCAACTCTTGCTCAGATTCTTCACTTCCTCTGCATGAACGATCGGCGTGTAGTTTATAGGAGCGCACACCCTTGTACTACTTCGGTACAAGGGTTTACCAGTATGCTGTAATAAGTGGCCCCGTTATATCTGATGTAAGTGGTGGATATTCGCGTACCCACTTCGATGTTTGAGTATACGGCTGGGGAGTGCGTTGTGCGTGGAGTGTGACCTATAACATACAATCGCTATGCAACAGAGGAGATCCCAGTAGTCGTCTTCTGCCACCAATGAGGCGGTCAGTCATAAGCATCGTACATTTTCCGTTTTTCTTTTCAGTACTGCGATGGAGAAGATGTGGTGCAAACTATGCTCTCCTTGAGGTCGACTCCGTGGTGAGTGAATAGGAAAGTAATAAGTCCTTCATGGGTGATACCTCTGATCAAGGGATACTAGCTTTGTACAATGTCCATCATTCGTGCCAGCTACAACCACAACATACTCGCTGTCTTGACATTCGTGTGCTTGCTCCCCACTCCCTGTTTTGCCGATAAGCGCCCAGCGGTCATTCCTACAATGTCACATAGGACAGTAGGGATGGCGAAACATAGAGGCGCGCCAATCAGCCCAAGCCAGCTCGTCTGTTGTTGCATATTCGCAACACTTGTTGAACGGCGTTTAAGCTAGAGGAAGAACTACATCTGGAGCGGGAGCTATTTGCACAGCGTATTTCCAAAAGAACTCGATTGCTCATATGTTTTTCCGCGATCTCTGACGTGATAACAGGCAGCGGCCACTTCGTTTCACAAAAAATGGTGGCAGAGTCGCATTTTATTCTGCTGATGCTGTTCGTGGCCGTAGGTATAATGCTGCTATCGCTCTCAGTGCTGCTCCTGCTAGTATGGTTCAATGAGAGCGCAGCCTTCGCTGCTTCATATGGCATGTCCTTACATGTTTGCGCTCTTCTCCCTTATCGCTTATAGTCCAATCACATGCGCGTATGCATGTGTATAGCTTGCAGACACACATAGAAAACAGCTACTGAGAATTTTGACTTTTATCCGACGCACACTCACATTATATAGGTCCAGCCGGTACGTTTTACTAGTATAATATGTTAAAAGTGCATTAGCGAGATGAGTGCGCTTGCACTGCACCCACATAGTGTGTAAGGAGGAATGTAGTCAGTCTGGATCAGTTTAGGTCATTCTGGACTAGATCCGCAGAATTACATGTTGTAAGCAAGAGATTGAAGCAAGAGCTGTAGCTTTAACATGCAACCCAATCATACATCTGTGCGGAGAAGATTACATGTACGCGCAAGTTCTCATTGCGTCAGGCCTTTATCGACAATTTATAAGGTTATTTTCCTCTTCGGCTAGGTACAAACATTCCTTACATGCCGTGGCTAGCGTGACAATAAGCTACAGGCTCCTGCCAGATACACGAGGTACCAGCCATCCCGAATTGGCCCAACTAATTGTTTATTGGGCTTCATGCTTCTTCGAGAGGCCTATCTCGCTTATGCTAAGATTTACAGGTGGTATCAGTGAGGCTATGGTGTCACATATTTAATTTAGGAGCTTTGGTTATTATTAAATGTATTTAAACGGCACCGGTGAAATGGAATGTCGATGCATACCCAAATCTCCAGAGGAAGGCTAATGGAAATGGAGTTGTCATAGCGGATGCTACTTTCCATGTCAACGCTCCAGCTGTCAGGTTTGGTAGTTGCATGCAATCGATGTGTGGTCCCACTAAGTCCAAAAAGTACTTTGTCGCTATTCGCTCAGGATAGAGTATGAATCAATTCTCGGATAGTGAAGCCACCTAAGAGGTCTGGAGCCGCAACGCGTCTGGCGCGCGTCTCAGTACAGGAGAATAAAATATGCATTCTCATAATCGAACAGAAATGCCGTGACAAACACTCACCACTATCTATTTGCCTTCCAGGCTTACAGTCAATAAAAATGAGGCTAGCCCTGCAGCGGAGCTACACATGTCCTTTAGTCAGAGGAAGACTTAACGCTTTACGAACAACTTTGGTTCAACGAACAAGACTCAAAGAGTCAACAGCTCTACGAGCAACTTTGGTTCTAAGAACCCGACTCAGAGAGTCAACAATCTCAGAGAGCTTACGGTCCCTGTTCCAGGGGGGCCAAACGATTCAAAGAATCAAACGCACAGAGTGCACAAGGAGTAGCTGCCTTAACAAGGCGTTGCTACCTCCTTAACGAACGCAAGACGCCTCAGAGAGGCACTTGTCTTTTGGATCAAAATGGGAAATGAATTTTATTTCTTCTTTTAACCTGAAAGAATACCGTAGAACAAAGTAATTAACCTACTCACTTATTTCCTAAATAAACCTCTCAAAAGATCTCGTAATCAATGGTTGACAGACATCAGTCTTCAACAATTGATACTGTGTTCTAATACTACTGTAAAGGGGATCTCATCCCTTATGTGTACCACACCTACTGTCGACTAACAGTCGACGTGTAACCCCGTTACACCCTCCCCCACCAGACTGACGTTTCCACAAAACGTCAATCGAATTCTTTCCTCAAAGAGGACGATGTGTGTGCGCTTCAGCCTTTCGGTTGGCAAATAAAAAAACACCTTGGCATCGCCACCCCATGAGTCATCGACCATATCGTCCTACCTCGGCATCGATGTGGAGGTGGATTATGGTAGCGATACCGATATCCATGGTGAGGAGAGGACAATGTCCGACTCACCAGTGCAAGAGGCAGCGCCTCATACTGCACCAAACCCATTTGACAAGCGTGGCGAAGCCAACGCGCCATCGGTGCCGCATCAAACACTTATCGTGGGCGATTCCATCATCATTAATCCACTTGATGAGCAACAACAGTTGGCTATCCGACGAGAGGAGAGCGCTCAGCGCCGTATGCAGCTTGCTGCAACCCTTGAGGGTCATCGTGGTTATCTGTCCACCTCACTCAATGTGGAAGAGCGTATACGCCAAACGACAGGTCGTTCCTTGGCAACGTGGGCCATTGGCGCTGATCCAGCATTTTCTGATGAGGCGGCGAGTCGACAGGTACTTCGCGAGATGTAACTGGAACATCACTTGACGACTCAAAGTCAATACAAGTTGCGACTTGACACGCAAGCACGGGGTGCACCGGTTCCACCGATGAAAGGTATACCCATCCTCTTATTCGCAGGCGAATCTCAGGAGGAAGAAGACAACTCTTATGTTCTCCGAATGCATTGGAAACGACACCTCAGCAGCGTGTTAGCTCCCAAAGCAAGTGAAGATTTGGCAGATGTTAGTCTAGAACGAAAGCTTCGGTATGATTACGCCAAGTTTAAGGCCATGAACCAGTTGCGAACTCGCACACGCTATGCTCCGGCTGTGCCGATTGATGTGGGTGTTGGTCAAGCGGTATCCAACTACCCACCTGCCTCCACCACTATTGGTGAGAAGCGCTCTAGGTCGAGGGATGACCCCTGCCACGATGTTTAAAAACATCAACGGTGTATGAGCAATCCTGCCGAAGGGGTGTCTCAAACTTCTACGAGTTCCCCGACTCCGGGTACCCTCGCCACTTCACCAGATACTGGTATTGACCCTGAAGACGACGTCGTTTAAGGAGTCGCTCCACATGGAACTGGCGGTTCCCTTGCTCATCGAGCAGCGTCGGAGGTGGTCGGTATACCGAAGGAGGAGCATGAGAAGGTACTTCTCTAGATGAGTGGTCTCCGTGAGACATTGAGTAAGACCCAGAGTGCGTTTGACGCGATGCGAGCCCGTGTCCAGGCGTTGGAGTTGGGACAAGCCCGGATGGAGGCTCAGCTTGACCTCCTCATACGGATTCATCAACCGATGGTAAGTACAACTTACTCTGCGCAAGCGCCTCCAAGTTCACATGGGACGGGTCCCGATACGGCTTAATCAAACCAACGTAGAACACAAGGTGTTTGCGCAGTTTGCGCGGAAGGTTGAGCGTATACGCAAGACCCTTATTGGCGACGACCGTGAATGGTCCAATGAAGAGCGGGCGCAACTTTGTCTTGAAGACGTCGGACACTACATTTGTAGGTAGGTGTTTAGCATTGAGTATAACTTGGTCTCCGACCTCATAACGTTTAATACAACCTCTGTCTTTAGCATCAGCTTGTTCCTTATGCTTGTCTTGGCTATCAACCAGTGCGTCACGCACATATCGTAA